GCTCATTATGGGATGGGGGAGCGACCCCATGGCGACATTCCCATTGATTCCTATGGGATGGGGAACGCAGCCCGGGAATGCCGCTGTGCAAGGCTCATTATGGGATGGGGAGCGACCCCATGGCGACATTCCCATTGATTCCTATGGGGATGGGGAACGCAGCCCGGGAATGCCGCTGCGCAAGGCTCATTATGGGATGGGGTGAGAGCAACCCCATGGCGACATTCCCATTGATTCCTATGGGATGAGGGAACGCAGCCCGGGAATGCCGCTGTGCAAGGCTCATTATGGGATGGGGTGAGAGCGACCCCATGGCGACATTCCCATTGATTCCTATGGGATGAGGGAACGCAGCCCGGGAATGCCGCTGCGCAAGGATCATTATGGGATGGGGAGCAACCCCATGGCGACATTCCCATTGATTCCTATGGGATGGGGGAACGCAGCCCGGGAATGCCGCTGCGCAAGGCTCATTATGGGATGGGGTGAGAGCAACCCCATGGCGACATTCCCATTGATTCCTATGGGATGGGGGAACGCATCCCGGGAATGCCGCTGCGCAAGGCTCATTATGGGATGGGGTGAGAGCGACCCCATGGTGACATTCCCATTGATTCCTATGGGATGAGGGAATGCATCCCAGGAATGCCGCTGCGCAAGGCTCATTATGGGATGGGGGAGCGACCCCATGGCGACATTCCCATTGATTCCTATGGGATGAGGGAACGCATCCCGGGAATGCCGCTGCGCAAGGCTCATTATGGGATGGGGGAGCGACCCCATGGCGACATTCCCATTGATTCCTATGGGATGGGGGAACGCATCCCAGGAATGCCGCTGCGCTAGGCTCATTATGGATGGATTCCAAAGGACGCCAGTGAGCTGCGGCAGGGGACGGACGGGACACGATGACACAACGGGAAGCGCTTCCAAAGCTCTGGAAAAGCGGGAATTGCGCACTCACCTGCAGCTCGGGCCCCAGGTCCCAGAGGCAGAGCTGCCCGTCGTGGGAGCCCGTCACCACCACGGGCACGTCGGGCAGCAGGAGGAGGCTGCAGACGCAGTGCGTGGGGGCCCGGCGGCCCCACAACACGATGGGCAGCACGAGGCCTGCGCCGGCCATCCCGCGGGAATGCGGATCCCGCCGCTCCTGCCTTTGGGAATGGAGCCCCAAAGGGACATGGGGCCGCTGCAAAGCCGGCCCCAGCTCCCATCCCCTTCCCAATGGGAATGGCAAAGGATGCAGAAGCTCTTCCTTCACCTTTAGGCCTCATCCAAGCCCCCCATTCCCTTTAGGCCTCATCCAAGCCCCCCCATTCCCTTTAGGCCTCATCCAAGCCCCCCCCATTGCCTTTAGGCCTCATCCAAGCCCCCCCATTCCCTTTAGGCCTCATCCAAGCCCCCCCATTGCCTTTAGGCCTCATCCAAGCCCCCCCATTCCCTTTAGGCCTCATCCAAGCCCCCCCATTGCCTTTAGGCCTCATCCAAGCCCCCCCATTCCCTTTAGGCCTCATCCAAGCCCCCCCATTGCCTTTAGGCCTCATCCAAGCCCCCCCATTCCCTTTAGGCCTCATCCAAGCCCCCCCATTCCCTTTAGGCCTCATCCAAGCCCCCCCATTCCCCTTTAGGCCTCATCCAAGCCCCCCCATTCCCTTTAGGCCTCATCCAAGCCCCCCCATTCCCTTTAGGCCTCATCCAAGCCCCCCCATTCCCTTTAGGCCTCATCCAAGCCCCCCCATTCCCTTTAGGCCTCATCCAAGCCCCCCCATTGCCTTTAGCGTTCATCCAAGCCCCCCCATTCCCTTTAGGCCTCATCCAAGCCCCCCATTGCCTTTAGGGTTCACCCAAGCCCCCCCATTCCCTTTAGGGTTCATCCAAGCCCCCCCATTGCCTTTAGGGTTCATCCAAGCCCCCCCATTCCCTTTAGGGTTCATCCAAACCCCCCCATTCCCGTTAGGGAACCCTAACCCCGTTACCGGCGCTCCCTGCCCGCGGGGCCGCCAAGCGCCGCCGGCTGTCGTGATGCCGGCGCCGCTGTCGTAAAGCCCGCCCCGTCCAACCTCCGCCGTGCTGCCTGACGGCAGGCGGCGTCGCCATGACAACGGCGCGGCGGGGCTGAGGCGCTGGCGGGTTTCAATGGCCGCCGTGAGGAGTAGAGGGGACCCGGAGCGCTCCGGTAACGGCGGCACCGGGGTTGGAAGGGGCTGTTCCCGTCCCCAGCCGCTTCCCGGCGGTAGGGCGGTGCGAAGGAGGTGGATTTTACCCGGGGTTAACCGAAGGGGAACGGCTTTACCTCAGCGGCTGCCGGCCGCCTGCGTCCCCTGCGCTCCCAAAGCCGTCACTCCCGGGTCCGAGCCCGCACGGTCACGGAGCTCATCCCGCCCCCAGCACCGCCGGGGCCCCGCCGCCCGCCCCAGCCCTCTTACCCGCACCTAAAATGGCCGCCGCCTCCTCCGCCTGCCCTCGCTCAAAATGGCGGACGCTCCCTGTACGCCCCGCGCTTGCCCTTACCTAAAATGGCCGCCGCTTCTTTTTGCCCTCACTCAAAATGGGGACCGCGCCACTCCCTTCCCCCCCCCCCCGCCCTTACCTAAAATGTCCGCCGCTTCCCTTTGCCCTCACTCAAAACGGCGACCGCCCCCCTTTGCCCTTACCTAAAATGGCCGCCGCTTCTTTTTGCCCTTACTCAAAATGGCCACAGAGCCAACCCCTCTCCTTTTTGCCCTTACCTAAAATGTCCGCCAGCTCCTTTAGCCCTCACCCAAAATGGCAGCTCTCCCCCCCGTTTGCCCTTACCTAAAATGTCCGCCGCTTCCTTTGCCCTCACCCAAAATGGCGACCGTTTGCCCTCACCCAAAATGGGCGACCGCCCCATTGGCCCTTACCGTAAAATGTCCGCCGGCTTCCTTTTGCCCTCACCCAAAATGGCGACAGAGGCCAACCCCACCCCCACCCCCCCCCGCCGTTTTTGCCCTTAATGTCGGCCCTTTGCCCTCACCCAAAATCAATTGCCCTTACGTAAAATGTCCCCGGCTCCCTTTGCCCCACCCAAAATGGCGACAGAGCCAACGCCTCTCCTTTTTGCCCTTACCTAAAATGTCCGCCGCTCCTTTCGCCCTCACCCAAACTGGCGACAGAGCCACCACCCTCCCCATTGCCCTTACCTAAAATGTCCGCCGGCCTCCTTTTGCCCTCACCCAAAATGGCGACCGCCCCCATTGCCCTTACGTAAAATGTCCGCCGGCTCCCTTTGCCCTCACCCAAAATGGCGACAGAGCCAACTCCTCTCCTTTTTGCCCTTACCTAAAATGTCCGCCGCTCCTTTCGCCCTCACCCAAACTGGCGACAGAGCCACCACCCTCCCCATTGCCCTTACCTAAAATGTCCGCCGGCTCCTTTTTGCCCTCACCCAAAATGGCGACCGCCCCATTGCCCTTACCTAAAATGTCCGCCGCTCCTTTCGCCCTCACCCAAACTGGCGACAGAGCCACCACCCTCCCCATTGCCCTTACCTAAAATGTCCGCCGGCTCCCTTTGCCCTCACCCAAAATGGCGACAGAGCCAACTCCTTTCCTTTTTGCCCTTACCTAAAATGTCCGCCGCTCCTTTCGCCCTCACCCAAACTGGCGACAGAGCCACCCCCCTCCCCATTGCCCTTACCTAAAATGTCCGCCGGCTCCTTTTGCCCTCACCCAAAATGGCGACCGCCCCATTGCCCTTACCTAAAATGTCCGCCGCTCCTTTCGCCCTCACCCAAAATGGCGACAGAGCCACCACCCTCCCCATTGCCCTTACCTAAAATGTCCGCCGGCTCCTTTTTGCCCTCACCCAAAATGGCGACCGCCCCATTGCCCTTACCTAAAATGTCCGCCGCTCTTTCGCCCTCACCCAAACTGGCGACAGAGCCACCCCCCTCCCCATTGCCCTTACCTAAAATGTCCGCCGGCTCCCTTTGCCCTCACCCAAAATGGCGACAGAGCCAACTCCTCTCCTTTTTGCCCTTACCTAAAATGTCCGCCGGCTCCTTTCGCCCTCACCCAAACTGGCGACAGAGCCACCCCCCTCCCCATTGCCCTTACCTAAAATGTCCGCCGGCTCCTTTTTGCCCTCACCCAAAATGGCGACCGCCCCATTGCCCTTACCTAAAATGTCCGCCGCTCCTTCGCCCTCACCCAAACTGGCGACAGAGCCACCCCCCCTCCCCATTGCCCTTACCTAAAATGTCCGCCGGCTCCTTTTGCCCTCACCCAAAATGGCGACAGAGCCAACTCCTCTCCTTTTTGCCCTTACCTAAAATGTCCGCCGGCTCCCTTTGCCCTCACCCAAAATGGCGACAGAGCCAACTCCTCTCCTTTTTGCCCTTACCTAAAATGTCCGCCGGCTCCTTTCGCCCTCACCCAAACTGGCGACAGAGCCACCACCTTCCCCATGCCCTTACCTAAATGTCCGCCGGCTCCTTTTTGCCCTTACCCAAAATGGCGACCGCCCATTGCCCTTACCTAAAATGTCCGCCGCTCCTTTCGCCCTCACCCAAACTGGCGACAGAGCCACCCCCCTCCCCATTGCCCTTACCTAAAATGTCCGCCGGCTCCTTTTGCCTCACCCAAAATGGCGACAGAGCCAACTCCTCTCCTTTTTGCCCTTACCTAAATGTCCGCCGCTCCTTTCGCCCTCACCCAAACTGGCGACAGAGCCACCACCCTCCCCATTGCCCTTACCTAAAATGTCCGCCGGCTCCTTTTTGCCCTCACCCAAAATGGCGACCGCCCCATTGCCCTTACCTAAAATGTCCGCCGGCTCCTTTTTGCCCTCACCCAAAATGGCGACACCGCCGCCAGCGGCGCCTGCGCCGCGCGGTGCATGCCGGGGCTCCGCTTCCGGCCGTGACGCTGCAGATCGCGCCGGGTCCCTCCGCCGCCGGTCCCGGTCCCGGTGCCGGTGCCGCTTCCTCCTCCTCCTCCTCCTCCTCCTCCTCCTCCGCCGCCGCCTCCTCCCGCGGCCCCGGCGCCATGGGGGGGGTGAAGGTGATCGGCAACGACGCCGAGTTCCAGCCGGAGCTGGGCGCCGCCGGCTCCCGCTTGGCCGTGGTCAAGTTCACCATGCGCGGGTGAGCGGGCCCGGAGCGGGCCCTGAGGGAATAGAACCGGGAATGGGGGGATATGGGGGGTGGGATGTGGGATACGGGGTATGGGATATGGGGTATGGGGTACGGGGTGTAGGATATGGGATATATGGAGTATGGGATATAGGATATGGGATATGTGGTATGGGATATGGGATATATGTGGTATGGGATGTTGGATATGGGATATATGTGGTATGGGATGGTGGGTATGGGATATATGTGGTATGGGGTATGGCATATGGGGTGTGGGATATGGGGTATGGGATATGGGATATATGTGGTATGGGATGTGGGATATGGGATATATGTGGTATGGCATATGGGATGTGGGATATGGGGTATGGGATATATGATATGGGATATGAGGTATGGGATGTAGGATGTATGGGATATGGGATGTATGGGATATGGGGTACGGGATATGGGGTGTGGGATACGGGATATGGGGTATGGGATATGGGGTGTGGGATATGGGATATATGATATGGGATATGTGATGTATGGGGTACGGGGTATGGGATGTATGGGGTATGGGATATGGGGTATGGGATATGCGGTATGGGATATGGGATATATGATACGGGATATGGGGTATGGGATATATGTGGTATGGGGTATGGAGTATGGAGTGTGGGATACAGGATATATGGTATGGGATACGGGGTATGGGATATGGGGTATGGGATGTATGGGGTATGGGATATGGGGTGTGGGGTATGGGGTGTGGGATATGGGATATGGGATATGGGGTATGGGGTATGGGATATGGGATGTATGGGATATGGGATGTATGGGATATGGGGTACAGGATATGGGATGTATGGGGTATGGTGTATGGTATATGGGGTGTGGGATATAGGGTATGGGATATGGGGTATGGGGTGTGGGATATATGATGCAGGATACGGGGTATGGGATATAGGGTATGAGGTATGGGATATGGGATACGGGGTACGGGATATGGGATATATGATACGGGATATGGGGTATGGGATATGGGATATATGTGGTATGGGGTATGGAGTGTGGGATATGGGATATATGATATGGGATATGGGATGTATGGGATATGGGGTATGGGATACGGGGTATGGGGGGATACAGGATACAGGGTATGGAATATGGGATATGGGATGCATGGGATATGGGGTATGGGATATGGGATATATGATACAGGGTATGGGATATGGGATATATGATACGGGATATGGGGTGTGGGATATGGGATATGGGGCTTGGAGGCAGCCCGGAGCCGGAGGGGCTGCCGCCATTGATCCCACTGGGCTGGGTTCCGTGCCTTGGTCCATGGATCCACGCCATTCCCGGCTGGAAGAGCCCGGGAAGGACCCCCCCCCTTCCCCCTTCCCCATAGAATTCCCGCTTGGAATGGCCGCTTCCAGCCCCAAACGGGGCCGTTGCGTCCAGCTCCGAACCCCTTAGCGTGGCAAATCCCCTACGGGGCTGATCCCATGGGACGCAGGGAGCATTCCCAATGGGATGCAGGGATCATTCCCAACGGGATCATTCCCAATGGGATCATCCCGACGGATCCGTGCCTTGCGCCCGCAGCTGCGGGCCCTGCCTCAGGATAGCGCCGGCCTTCAGCTCCCTGAGCACCAAGTACCCGCAGGCGGCGTTCCTGGAGGTGGACGTGCACCAGTGCCAGGTGGGAATTCCGTTGGGAAAAGGCTGGGAAAACACCCCCCCCACCTCCGGAATTCCATAAGGATCCCTTCATCCCTAGGGAACGGCGGCCAGCAACAACATCGCGGCCACGCCGACGTTCCTGTTCTTCCGGAATAAAGTCCGCGTGGATCAGTACCAGGGAGCCGATCCCATGGGATTGGAGGAGAAGATAAAGCAGCACCTGGAGAACGAGGCCGGCAACGGCGAGGCCGCCGATATTCCCAAGGGATACGTACGGAGGCGCTTCCCAAAGGAATTCTGATGGGGGAGGGGGGGGGTGGAGGGGTGATTCCTTATGGGATGGAAGCGTCGTTCCCTATGGGATGGAGGGGTGATTCCCTATGGGATGGAGGGAGCGTTCCCTATGGGATGGAGGGGTGATTCCCTATGGGATGGAGGGAGCGTTCCCTATGGGATGGAGGGAGCATTTCCTATAGGATAGAGGGGTGATTCCCCATGGGATGGCGGGGTGATTCCCTATGGGATGGAGGAGTGATTCCGTATGGGATGAGGGAGCGTTCCGTATGGGATGGAGGCATCATTCCCTATGGGATGGAGAGATCATTCCCAATGGGATGCAGGGACCATTCCCTTTGGGACGCAGGGACCATTCCCAATGGGATGGAGGGATCATTCCCAATGGGATGCAGGGACCATTCCCTTTGGGATGCAGGGACCATTCCCAATGGGACACAGAGATCATTCCCTATAGGACACAGAGACCATTCCCTATGGGACAGAGGGACCATTCCCTTTGGGACGCAGGGGCCATTCCCAATGGGATGCAGGGACCATTCCCTTTGAGATGCAGGGACCATTCCCAATGGGACGCAGGGACCATTCCCAATGGGATGCAGGGACCATTCCCAATGGGACGCAGGGACCATTCCCAATGGGACGCAGGGATCATTCCCCTATGGGACACAGGGACCATTCCCTTTGGGACGCAGGGACCATTCCCAATGGGACGCAGGGACCATTCCCAATGGGACGCAGGGACCATTCCCAATGGGATGCAGGGACCATTCCCAATGGGACACAGAGATCATTCCCTATAGGACACAGAGACCATTCCCTATGGGACAGAGGGACCATTCCCTTTGGGACGCAGGGACCATTCCCAATGGGACGCAGGGACCATTCCCAATGGGATGCAGGGACCATTCCCAATGGGACGCAGGGACCATTCCCAATGGGACACAGAGACCATTCCCTATGGGACAGAGGGACCATTCCCAATGGGATGCAGGGACCATTCCCTTTGGGATGCAGGGACCATTCCCTTTGGGATGCAGGGACCATTCCCTTTGGGACGCAGGGACCATTCCCAATGGGATGCAGGGACCATTCCCTTTGGGATGCAGGAACCATTCCCAATGGGACAGAGGGACCATTCCCTTTGGGATGCAGGGATCATTCCCAATGGGACGCAGGGACCATTCCCAATGGGATGCAGGGATCATTCCTTATGGCACGCAGGGACCATTCCCAATGGGACGCAGGGATCATTCCCTATGGGACACAGGGACCATTCCCTTTGGGACGCAGGGACCATTCCCAATGGGATGCAGGGACCATTCCCTTTGGGATGCAGGGACCATTCCCAATGGGACACAGAGATCATTCCCTATAGGACACAGAGACCATTCCCTATGGGACGCAGGAATCATTCCCTATGGGATGCAGGGACCATTCCCAATGGGATGCAGGGACCATTCCCTTTGGGATGCAGGGACCATTCCCAATGGGATGCAGGGACCATTGCCAATGGGATGCAGGAACCATTCCCAATGGGATGCAGGGACCATTCCCTTTGGGATGCAGGGACCATTCCCTTTGGGATGCAGGGACCATTCCCAATGGGACACAGAGACCATTCCCAATGGGATGCAGGAACCATTCCCTATGGGACGCAGGGACCATTCCCTTTGGGATGCAGGGACCATTCCCAATGGGACGCAGGGACCATTCCCAATGGGATGCAGGGACCATTCCCAATGGGATGCAGGGACCATTCCCTTTGGGATGCAGGGACCATTCCCAATGGGACACAGAGATCATTCCCTATAGGACACAGAGACCATTCCCTATGGGACAGAGGGACCATTCCCAATGGGATGCAGGGACCATTCCCTTTGGGACGCAGGGACCATTCCCAATGGGATGCAGGAACCATTCCCTATGGGACGCAGGGACCATTCCCTTTGGGACGCAGGGACCATTCCCAATGGGACGCAGGGACCATTCCCAATGGGATGGAGGGATCATTCCCAATGGGATGCAGGGACCATTCCCTTTGGGACGCAGGGACCATTCCCTTTGGGACGCAGGGACCATTCCCAATGGGACGCAGGGACCATTCCCTTTGGGATGCAGGGACCATTCCCAATGGGACACAGAGACCATTCCCAATGGGATGCAGGAACCATTCCCTATGGGACGCAGGGACCATTCCCTTTGGGATGCAGGGACCATTCCCAATGGGATGCAGGGACCATTCCCAATGGGATGCAGGAACCATTCCCAATGGGATGCAGGGACCATTCCCAATGGGATGCAGGAACCATTCCCAATGGGATGCAGGAACCATTCCCAATGGGATGCAGGGACCATTCCCAATGGGATGCAGGGACCATCCCTTCCCTCCCACCCAAAGCACTCCTGGGATTCAATGCCCCCCCCCCCATGCAATTCCCATCCCTCTGGCGCCCTGTATCCCTGCCATTCCCGCTTCCCGCCCCCTTTCCCAGATGGATTTGCTGCCCTTCGTGAACCGAGCGGGCTGCGAGTGCCTCAACGAGAGCGACGAGCACGGCTTCGAGAACTGCCTCCGGAAGGACGCTTCCTACCTGGAATCCGACTGCGACGAGCAGGTCCGGGAATGGCGTTGGGAATGCCGGCGGCTTCCGTAGGGAACGGAGCGCGTTGGGAATGCCGATGGCTTCCGTATGGAATGGAGCGCATTGGGAGTGCCGATGGCTTCCGTAGGGAACGGAGCGTGTTGGGAGTGCCGCGTGATTCCCAATGGGAATGCCGCGTGCTTCTCAATGGGAAAGGAGCACGCTGGGAATGCCGCATGATTCCCAATGGGAAAGGAGTGCGTTGGGAATGCCGCGTGGTTCCATAGGGAACGGAGCGCATTGGGAATGCCGATGGCTTCCATAGGGAATGGAGCATGTTGGGAGTGCTGTATGATTCCCAATGGGAAAGGAGCACGTTGGGAATGCCGATGGCTTCCATAGGGAACGGAGCGCATTGGGAGTGCCGATGGCTTCCGTATGGAATGGAGCGCATTGGGAGTGCCGATGGCTTCCGTAGGGAACGGAGCGTGTTGGGAGTGCCGCGTGATTCCCAATGGGAATGCCGCGTGCTTCTCAATGGGAAAGGAGCACGCTGGGAATGCCGCATGATTCCCAATGGGAAAGGAGTGTGTTGGGAATGCCGCGTGGTTCCATAGGGAACGGAGCGCGTTGGGAATTCCGATGGCTTCCATAGGGAATGGAGCATGTTGGGAGTGCTGTATGATTCCCAATGGGAAAGGAGCACGTTGGGAATGCCGATGGCTTCCATAGGGAACGGAGCGCATTGGGAGTGCCGATGGCTTCCGTAGGGAACGGAGCGTGTTGGGAGTGCCGATGGCTTCCGTAGGGAATGGAGCGTGTTGGGAGTGCCGCGTGATTCCCAATGGGAATGCCGCGTGGTTCCCAATGGGAAAGGAGCACGTTGGGAATGCCGCGTGGTTCCATAGGGAACGGAGCGCATTGGGAATGCCGATGGCTCCCATAGGGAACGGAGCGCGTTGGGAGTGCCGATGGCTTCCATAGGGAATGGAGCGCGTTGGGAGTGCCACGTGATTCCCAATGGGAATGCAGCGTGCTTCTCAATGGGAAAGGAGTGCGTTGGGAATGCCGCATGATTCCCAATGGGAAAGGAGCGCGCTGGGAATGCCGCGTGGTTCCATAGGGAACGGAGTGCGTTGGGAATGCCGATGGCTTCCATAGGGAATGGAGCGTGTTGGGAGTGCTGTATGATTCCCAATGGGAAAGGAGCGCGTTGGGAATGCCGCGCGCTTCCATAGGGAAAAGGAGCGCGTTGGGAATGCCGAGTGCTTCCATAGGGAAAGGAGCGCGTTGGGAATGCCGCGCGCTTCCATAGGGAGAAGGAGCGCGTTGGGAATGCCGCATGCTTCCCTTGTCCATTGGGCCTCCGGGTGCTTCCAAGGGTTTGTCCCCTGGCTCCCGGCGCGTATCCCTCTGGAATGCCGCTGGATTCAGGAGCCTTTCCTCCTCTCCCCCCCAGCTCCTCATGACCGTGGCCTTCAGCCAGCCCGTCAAGCTGTACTCCATGAAATTCCAAGGGCCGGATAACGGTGAGCGGGCGGCAATTCCCAATGGGAGAATCCCTTGGGATAGGGGTGAGGGTTGGGGTTGGGGTTAGGGGTTAGGGTTAGGGTTAGGGGTTGGGGTTAGGGGTTAGGGTTGGGGTTAGGGGTTAGGGGTTGGGGTTAGGGGTTGGGTTAGGGGTTAGGGGGTTGGGGTTAGGGGTTGGGGTTAGGGGTTAGGGGTTGGGATTAGGGGTTAGGGGTTGGGGTTAGGGGTTGGGTTAGGGGTTGGGTTAGGGGTTAGGGGTTATGGGTTAGAGTTTGGGTTAGGGGTTAGGGTTGGGGTTAGGGGTTGGGTTAGGGGTTAGGGGTTATGGGTTAGAGTTTGGGTTAGGGGTTAGGAATAGGGGTTGGGGTTAGGGGTTAGGGGTTGGGGTTAGGGGTTATGGGTTAGAGTTTGGGTTAGGGGTTAGGAATAGGGGTTGGGGTTAGGGTTAGGGGTTGGGGTTAGGGGTTATGGGTTAGAGTTTGGGTTAGGGGTTAGGAATAGGGGTTGGGGTTAGGGGTTAGGGGTTGGGGTTAGGGGTTTGGTTTGGGTTAGGGGTTATGGGTTACAGTTTGGGTTAGGGGTTTGGGTTTGGGTTAGGGGTTAGGGTTGGGGTTAGGGCTTAGGGGTTGGGGTTAGGGGTTGGGTTAGGGGTTATGGGTTAGAGTTTGGGTTAGGGGTTGGGTAATGGTTAGGAATAGGGGTTGGGGTTAGGGCTTAGGGGTTGGGGTTAGGTGTTATGGTTAGGGGTTAGGGTTTGGGTTAGATTTCTGGTTAGAGTTAGGGTTGGCGTTAGGGGTTAGGGGTTGGGGTTAGGGTTTGGGTTAGGGGTTAGTAATAGGGGTTAGGGTTGAGGGTTATGGTTGGGGCTAGGGTTTGGGTTAGGGTTTAGGTTAGAGTTAGGGTTGGGTTAGGGGTTAGCGTTTGAGTTAGGGGTTAGGAATAGGGGTTAGGGTTGAGGGTTATGGTTAGGGGCTAGGGTTTGGGTTAGGTTTTAGGTTAGAGTTAGGGTTGGGGTTAGGGGTTAGCGTTTGGGTTAGGGGTTAGGAATAGGGGTTAGGGTTGAGGGTTATGGTTAGGGGCTAGGGTTTGGGTTAGGGTTTAGGTTAGGAGTTAGGGTTGGGGTTAGGGATTTGGGTTAGGGGTTAGCGTTTGGGTTAGGGGTTAGGAATAGGGGTTAGGGTTGAGGGTTATGGTTAGGGGTAGGGTTTGGGTTAGGGTTTAGGTTAGAGTTAAGGTTGGGGTTAGGGGTTAGCGTTTGGGTTAGGGGTTAGGAAGAGGGGTTAGGGTTGGGGGTTATGGTTAGGGGTTAGGGTTTGGGTTAGGTTTAGGGGTTTGGGTTAGGGGTTAGGGTTTGGGTTAGGGGTTAGGAATAGGGGTTAGGGTTGGGGGGTTATGGTTAGGGGCTAGGGGTTGTGGTTAGTGTTATGGGTTAGGGTTGGGGTTAGGGGTTGGGGTTAGGGTTTGGGTAAGGGGTTAGGAATGGGTTTAGGGGTGATTGTTATGGTTAGGGGCCTAGGGTTTGGGTTAGGGTTTAGGTTAGAGTTAAGGTTGGGGTTAGGGGTTAGCGTTTGGTGTAGGGGTTAGGAATACGGGTTAGGGTTGAGGGTTATGGTTAGGGGTTAGGGTTTGGGTTAGGGTTTAGGTTAGAGTTAGGGTTGGGATTAGGGTTTGGGTTAGGGGTAAGTGTTGGGGTTAGGGTTCATGTTAGAGTTAGGGTTGGGGTTTGGGGTAGGTTTTGGGGTTAGTGGTTAGGTTTTAGCTGTTGGTGTTAGGGGTTGGGGTTAGGGGGTTGCATTAGGGTGTGTGGTTAGGGTTGGGGTTAGGGGTTTAGGGGTGGGTTTGGGTTTAGGGGGTTTGGTTAGGGGGTGTGGTTATGGTTGGGGTTATGGGTTAAAGTGAGGTGTTGGGGTAATGGGTTACAGCTTGGGTTAGGGGTTGGGGTTAGGGGTTGGGGGTTTAGGGTTGGGGTTAGGGTTTGGGTTTGGGGTCAGTGTTGGGGTTAGGGGTTAGGGTTATGGTTGGGGTCAGGTGTTAGGGGTTGGGTTTAGGTTAGGGGTTGGGGGTTACGGCTTGGGTTTGCCGTTGCGGTTAGGGTTGGGGGTTAGGGGTTAGGGTTGGGGTTAGGGTTGGGGTTATGGGTTAACGTTAGGTGTTAGGGTTAGGGGTTATGGCTTGGGGTTAGGGTTGTGGTTAGGGTTAGAGTTTGGGGTTAAGGGTTAGGGGTTGGGTTAGGGTTAACGGCTTGGGGTTGGCGTTGCTGTTCGGTTTGGGGGTTAGGGTTGGGGTTAGTGTTACGGGTTGGGGGTTAGGCTGTGGGTTAGGGTTTGGGGTTGGTGGTAGGGTGTATGGTTATGGGTTAAGGTTCGATGTTAGCGTTAGGGGTTATGGCTTGAGGTTCGGGTTTCGGGCTTAGGGTTCGACTTTGGGGTTAGGCTTTAGGGTTGGGGTCAGTGCTTCGGGGTTGGCTTTGTGTGTTAGGGGTTGGGGTCATTCCCTTGGGAGCACGGCTCCGTTCCCGTTATCCCATCCCATCGCATCCCAGGCCAAGGCCCCAAATCCGTGAAGCTCTTCATCAACCTGCCGCGCTCCATGGACTTTGCGGAAGCGGAGCGGAGCGAACCCACGCAGGCGCTGGAGCTGAGCCCCGAGGACATCCGCGAGGCCGGGAGCATCCCGCTGCGCTACGTCAAGTTCCAGAACGTCAACAGCGTCACCGTGAGTGCCCCTGCCCGCCATTCCCGGCCTCGGGAATGCCGCCGCCCTGCCGTGGCCTGCTCTCCGCGGCAGCTTGGGAGGGAGAAGGGAGCGTCGCGGCCCTCGTTGTGTCTGCGCGGAATGCTGAGCTGTTCCGTCGTTCCTTAAGTGTGGAATGCTATCCCGTGATTCCAGAAACGTGGAATGCTGAGCTGTTCCGTCATTCCTTAAACGTGGAATGCTATTCTATGATTCCATAAATATGGAATGCTCATCTCTTCCATGATTCCTTAAATGCGGAATGCTGTCCCGTCATTCCTTAAACATGGAATGCTGATCTATTCCGTCATTCCTTAAACGTGGAATGCTATCCCGTGATTCCAGAAACGTGGAATGCTGAGCTGTTCCGTCATTCCTTAAACATGGAATGCTATCCCGTGATTCCAGAAACGTGGAATGCTGAGCTGTTCCGTCATTCCTTAAACATGGAATGCTATCCCATGATTCCATAAACATGGAATGCTGATCTCTTTCGTCATTCCTTAAACGTGGGATGCTATTCCATGATTCCTTAAACATGGAATGCTCATCTCTTCCATGATTCCTTAAATGCAGAATGCTGTCCCATGATTCCTTAAATATGGAATGCTGATCTATTCCGTCATTCCTTAAACGTGGAATGCTATCCCGTGATTCCAGAAAGATGGAATGCTGAGCTGTTCCGTCATTCCTTAAACATGGAATGCTATCCCGTGATTCCAGAAACGTGGAATGCTGAGCTGTTCCGTCATTCCTTAAACGTGGAATGCTATTCCATGATTCCATAAACATGGAATGCTGATCTCTTTCGTCATTCCTTAAACGTGGGATGCTATTCCATGATTCCATAAACATGGAATGCTCATCTCTTCCATGATTCCTTAAATGCGGAATGCTGTCCCATGATTCCTTAAATATGGAATGCTGATCTATTCCGTCATTTCTTAAACGTGGAATGCTATCCCGTGATTCCAGAAAGATGGAATGCTGAGCTGTTCCGTCATTCCTTAAACGTGGAATGCTATCCTGTGATTCCAGAAACGTGGAATGCTGAGCTGTTCCGTCGTTCCTTAAACGTGGAATGCTATCCCGTGATTCCAGAAAGATGGAATGCTGAGCTGTTCCGTCATTCCTTAAACGTGGAATGCTATTCTATGATTCCATAAATATGGAATGCTCATCTCTTCCATGATTCCTTAAATGCAGAATGCTGTCCCATGATTCCAGAAAGATGGAATGCTGATCTATTCCGTCATTCCTTAAACATGGAATGCTATCCCATGATTCCATAAACATGGAATGCTGATCTATTCCGTCATTCCTTAAATGCGGAATGCTATCCCGTGATTCCTTAAATATGGAATGCTGATTTGTTCCATCATTCCTTAAACATGGAATGCTATCCCATGATTCCTTAAACATGGAATGCTGAGCTGTTCCATGATTTCTTCAGTGCGGAATGCTGATCTATTGCGTCATTCTTTAAACATGGAATGCTATCCCATGATTCCATAAATACGGAATGCTCATCTCTTGCATGATTCCTTAAATGCGGAATGCTGTCCCATGATTCCATAAATATGGAATTCTGATCTATTCCATCCTTCCTTAAACATGGAATGCTATCCCCTGATCCTTTCAATATGGAATGCTGATATATTCCACGAGTGTTTAAACATGGAATGCTATCCCATGATCCCTTAAATGTGGAATGCTGATCTATTCCGTCATTCCTTAAACATGGAATGCTATCCCATGATTCCATAAACATGGAATGCCGCTCTCTTCCATGATTCCATAAACATGGAATACTCTTTCCATGATTCTATAAACCCTGGAATGCTCTTCTGTGATTCCATAAACCTGGAATGCCGCTCTCTTCTGTCATTCCTTCCCCCCGGAACGCTGATCTCTTCCACGATTCCATAAACATGGAATGTTATCCTATGATTCCATAAACCTGGAATGCTATCCCAGGATTCCATAAACATGGAATGCTATCCCAGGATTCCATAGACCTGGAATGCCCTTCTCTTCCACGATTCCATAAACCTGGAATGCCCTTCTCTTCCATGATTCCATAAACCTGCAATGCTATCCCAGGATTCCATAAACCTGGAATGCTATCCCATGATTCCATAAACCTGGAATGCCGCTCTCTTCCATCATTCCTTCCCCCCGGAACGCTGATCTCTGCCACGATTCCATAAACATGGAATGTTATCCTATGATTCCATAAACCTGGAATGCTATCCCAGGATTCCATAAACCTGGAATGCTATCCCAGGATTCCATAAACCTGGAATGCTGCTCTCTTCCATGATTCTATAAACATGGAATACTATCCCAGGATTCCATAAACCTGGAATGCCCTTCTCTTCCACGATTCCATAAACCTGCAATGCTCTCCCATGATTCCATAAACCTGCAATGCTATCCCAGGATTCCATAAACCTGCAATGCTATCCCAGGATTCCGTAAACCTGGAATGCCGCTCTCTTCCATCATTCCTTCCCCCCGGAACGCTGATCTCTTCCACGATTCCATAAACATGGAATGTTATCCTATGATTCCATAAACCTGCAATGCTATCCCAGGATTCCATAAACCTGGAATGCTATCCCAGGATTCCATAAACCTGGAATGCTGCTCTCTTCCACGATTCCATAAACCTGTAATGCCCTTCTCTTCCACGATTCCATAAACCTGCAATGCTATCCCAGGATTCCATAAACCTGGAATGCTATCCCGGGATTCCATAAACCTGGCATGCCGCTCTCTTCCATCATTCCTTCCCCCCGGAACGCTGATCTCTTCCACGATTCCATAAACATGGAATGTTATCCTATGATTCCATAAAGCTGGAATGCTATCCCAGGATTCCATAAACCTGGCATGCCGCTTTCTTCCATCATTCCTTCCCCCCCGGAACGCTGATCTCTTCCATGATTCCATAAACATGGAATGTTATCCTATGATTCCATAAACCTGGAATGCTATCCCAGGATTCCATAAACCTGGAATGCTGCTCTCTTCCATGATTCCATAAACCTGCAATGCTATCCCAGGATTCCATAAACCTGGAATGCCCTTCTCTTCCATGATTCCATAAACCTGCAATGCTATCCCAGGATTCCATAAACCTGGAATGCTATCCCAGGATTCCATAAACCTGGAATGCCGCTCTCTTCCATGATTCCATAAACCTGGAATGCTATCCCAGGATTCCATAAACCTGGAATGCTGCTCTCTTCCACGATTCCATAAACCTGGAATGCCCTTCTCTTCCACGATTCCATAAACCTGCAATGCTCTCCCATGATTCCATAAACCTGGAATGCTATCCCAGGATTCCATAAACCTGGCATGCCGCTCTCTTCCATCATTCCTTCCCCCCGGAACGCTGATCTCTTCCACGATTCCATAAACCTGGAATGTTATCCTATGATTCCATAAACCTGGAATGCTATCCCAGGATTCCATAAACCTGGCATGCCGCTCTCCTCCGTCATTCCTTCCCCCCGGAACGCCGATCCCTCTCTTCTCTTCCCCCCTCCCCGCAGCTCTTTGTGCAGTCCAACCACGGCGCCGAGGCCACGACCCGCGTCACCTACTTCACCTTCATCGGCACGCCCGTGCAGGCCACCAACATGAACGACTTCAAGCGCGTGAGTCCCCATCCCGATCCCATTCCCGGCTTTTCCCAACGTTGGGAACGCCCGGACGCGCCGACACCCCCCGCGTTCAGCGCCGGCCGGGCGGGCGCCGAAGGGGACGGAAGAGGGAAGAGATCGGAGGGTTTTGGGAAGAGATCGGAGGGGTTTTGGGATGCGATGGATGGGTTTTGGGATGCGATGGATGGGGTTTTGGGATGCGATGGATGGGGTTTTGGGAAGAGATGGATAGGGTTTTGGGAAGAGATGGATGGGGTTTTGGGAAGAGATGGATGGGGTTTTGGGAAGAGATGGATGGGGTTTTGGGAAGAGATGGATGGGGGTTTTGGGATGCGATGGATGGGGTTTTGGGATGCGATGGATGGGGTTTTGGGATGCGATGGATGGGGTTTGGGATGCGATGGATGGGGTTTTGGGATGCGATGGATGGGGTTTTGGGAAGAGATGGATAGGGTTTTTGGGAAGAGATGGATGGGGTTTTGGGATGCGATGGATGGGGTTTTGGGAAGAGATCGGTGGGGTTTTGGGAAGAGATGGATGGGGTTTTGGGAAGAGATGGATGGGGTTTTGGGAAGAGATGGGGTTTTGGGAAGAGATGGATGGGGTTTTGGGAAGAGATCGGTGGGGTTTTGGGAAGAGATCGATGGGGTTTTGGGATGCGATGGATGGGGTTTTGGGAAGAGATCGATGGGGTTTTGGGAAGAGATCGATGGGGTTTTGGGAAGAGATGGATGGGGTTTTGGGAAGAGATCGGTGGGGTTGGGAAGAGATCGATGGGGTTTTGGGAAGAGATGGATGGGGTTTTGGGAAGAGATGGGGTTTTGGGAAGAGATGGATGGGGTTTTGGGAAGAGATGGATGGGGTTTTTGGGATGCGATGGATGGGGTTTTGGGAAGAGATGGATGGGGTTTTGGGAAGAGATGGGGTTTTGGGAAGAGATGGATGGGGTTTTGGGAAGAGATCGGTGGGGTTTTGGGAAGAGATCGATGGGGTTTTGGGATGCGATGGATGGGGTTTTGGGAAGAGATCGATGGGGTTTTGGGAAGAGATGGATGGGATTTTGGGAAGAGATCGGAGGGGTTTTGGGAAGAGATCGATGGGGTTTTGGGAAGAGATGGATGGGGTTTTGGGAAGAGATCGATGGGATTTTGGGATGCGATGGATGGGGTTTTGGGAAGAGATCGGAGGGGTTTTGGGATGCGATGGATGGGGTTTTGGGATGCGATGGATGGGATTTTGGGATGCGATGGATGGGGTTTTGGGATGTGATGGATGGGGTTTTGGGATGCGATGGATGGAGTTTTGGGAAGAGATCGATGGGGTTTTGGGAAGAGATGGATGGGGTTTTGGGAAGAGATCGGAGGGGTTTTGGGAAGAGATCGGAGGGGTTTTGGGAAGAGATGGATGGGGTTTTGGGATGCGATGGATGGGGTTTTGGGATGCGATGGATGGGGTTTTGGGAAGAGATCGATGGGATTTTGGGAAGAGATGGATGGGTTTTGGGAAGAGATCGGAGGGTTTTGGGATGCGATGGATGGGGTTTTGGGAAGAGATGGATGGGGTTTTGGGAAGAGATCGATGGGATTTTGGGAAGAGATGGATGGGGTTTTGGGAAGAGATCGGAGGGTTTTGGGATGCGATGGATGGGGTTTTGGGATGCGATGGATGGGGTTTTGGGAAGAGATGGATGGGATTTTGGGAAGAGATCGGTGGGGTTTTGGGAAGAGATGGATGGGGTTTTGGGAAGAGATGGATGGGGTTTTGGGAAGAGATGGATGGGGTTTTGGGAAGAGATCGGAGGGGTTTTGGAAGAGATGGATGGGGTTTTGGGATGCGATGGATGGGATTTTGGGATGCAATGGATGGGGTTTTGGATGCGATGGATGGGGTTTTGGGATGCGATGGATGGGGTTTTGGGAAGAGATCGGAGGGGTTTTGGGAAGAGATGGATGGGGTTTTGGGAAGAGATGGATGGGGTTTTGGGATGCAATGGATGGGGTTTTGGAGATGCGATGGATGGGGTTTTGGGAGAGATCGATGGGGTTTTGGGATGCGATGGATGGGGTTTTGGGAAGAGATGGATGGGGTTTTGGGATGTGATGGATGGGGTTTTGGGAAGAGATCGGTGGGGTTTTGGGAAGAGATCGGAGGGGTTTTGGGAAGAGATCGGAGGGGTTTTGGGATGCGATGGATGGGGTTTTGGGATGCGATGGATGGGGTTTTGGGATGCAATGGATGGGGTTTTGGGAAGAGATCGATGGGGTTTTGGGAAGAGATGGATGGGGTTTTGGGAAGGGATGGGGTTTTGGGATGCGATGGATGGGGTTTTGGGAAGAGATCGATGGGGTTTTGGGATGCGATGGATGGGGTTTTGGGAAGAGATCGATGGGATTTTGGGAAGCGATGAGGTGGATTTTGGGATGTGATGGATGGGATTTTGGGAATCATTCAGTGGATTTTGGGAAGCGATGGATGGGGTTTTGGGAAGCAATGGATGGAATTGTGGGATGCGATCGATGGGGTTTTGGGAAGCGATCGATGGGATTTTTGGAAGCGATCGGTGGGATTTTGGGAATCATTCAGTGGGATTTTGGGAAGCGATGGATGGGATTTTGGGAGCATCCCTTTGGAATCCAGCCCCATCCCAAGGCGGCATTATGGGATGGATCCGCTTCGGCTCGCCGCCATCCCTTTGCCTTTGCGTGGCCTTGGACGGTCCCCCGCTCACCTCCGGGAGCTGGGAATGGGCTTCCCAAGGCTTTTCCCTCTGGCGGCAGCATCCCTTCCATCCCGAAGCACGGCGGCCACCGCCGCTCCCACTTCCCGCCTTTTCCAGCCCCTCGGAACGCCGCCTCCCTCCGTCCTTCGGAAGAGCCGCCCCCCTCCCTCTTTCTCTCTTCCCTCCAGGTAGTGGGCAAGAAGGGGGAGAGCCACTGAGCCCCATTCGCCCACTCCCGGAGGAGGCCGACCGCCATTCCCAAAGAGAATTCCCGGCTTTTTTTGGTTCCCCCCCCCTCTCCCTCCCCCCATATTCCCATTCCCCACTTTTCCCCATCCGCTCTGCCCTTGTAAATAAAATTCCATGCCTTTTGCCAAGGGGGAAAAGGAAGGGGGGGGGCGGTATCCCGGAACTGGGATCGCGGCTTCCATTCGGGATGCGCCGTTGCGTGGGATAGGGGGCCGGCAGCCCTGTGCCGGGTGGGTTTCCAACCCCCTTCCACGAGTTCGACATTCCCAAATCCAGGGGAAAACACGGAATTTCGGGGGCTGGTCTCCCTCTTTTTTTTTCCTTTATTTTGGGGGGGTTTAAGCGGAAATGGGCGTTGCCAATGGAATTCTGTATATCCATGGGAATTATCCCCCCCCGCCCCCCACGGCCATGGGATGGAAAACTTGGGAATGCTGCCGCCAACCCCCCCCCCTTTTTCCTCCCGTTCCCCATCCCACCCAAGCCGGAACCCCGTATCCTTGCTGACGGCATTCCAAAAGTGAGGAATTCCATGGGAAACCCCCCCGTGGGGAAGCACTTTTCCCTCTTGGGGGGGGTGGGTTTAGCCCCGCTCCCCATTGACACCTAAGGGGGAGGAACCGGAGCAGGCCCCGAAGCCTCGGCCCCCAGCAGCGCCTCCCGCCGCCTCCCCCCGCTCCCCCCCGGCCTCCGCTCCCCCCCCGCGTCCCCTTCCCCGCGCTCCGGGAGGCGCCGCGGGCCGCCCGCCGCTAGGTGGCGCTGTGGCGCCGGGAAGCGGCCGGGATCCCGGGACGCTCCCGATGGATCCCGGTGGATCCCGGTGGATCCGGATGCTCCGCAACCCCCCCCCCCCCCCCGCATGGATCCCGGCTCCGCCATTCCCGATCCCTACAGCCCCGTATCCTCGGAGCGCGGTAAGCAGGGAATTCCCCCCCCCCCCCCCTCCCTTTGGGATCGGCTTGGGAATGGGGGGGGTGGGGGGGAACAATGGGATCGGGAGGGAATTCCCGGGATAAATGAGGGAATCGCCCCATTCCCGGTGGGAAGGGAGGAATTCCAGCGCGGATCCGGCGCTTCATGGCCACAGGGAATGGGAGCCGCTCTTATCCCGGCGTTCCCGAGGTGGGAAAGCCCTTGGGAAGCTGGGAGAACGGGAAGGGTTTGGGAATGGTTTGGGATGGTGTTCGGGGCCCGCTGGGATGGGATTGGGCTATGAGGGGGGTGGAGCATCCCCATGGAGCATCCCTATGGAGCATCCCTATGGAGCATCCATATGGAACATCCCTGTGGAGTATCCCTATGGAGAATCCCTATGGAGCACCCCTATGGAGAATCCCTAAGGAGCATCCCTAAGGAGCATCCCTATGGAGCACCCCTATGGAGAATCCCCATGGAGCATCCCTATGGAGAATCCCTATGGAGCATCCCTAAGGAGCATCCCTATGGAGCACCCCTATGGAGAATCCCCATGGAGCATCCCTATGGAGCATCCCTAGGGAACATTCCCATGGAGCATCCCTAAGGAGCATCCCTATGGAGAATCCCTATGGAGAATCCCTATGGAGCACCCCTACGGAGCACCCCCATAGAGCATCCCTATGGAGCATCCCTATGGAGCACCCCCATGGAGCATCCCTATGGAGCACCCCTATGGAGCATCCCTATGGAGCATCCCCATGGAGCATCCCTATGGAGAATCCCTAAGGAGTATCCCTATGAAGCATCCCTATGGAACACCCCTATGGAGCACCCCCATAGGGCATCCCTATGGAGCACCCCTATGGAACATCCCCTATGGAGCATCCCCATGGAGCATCCCTATGGAGTATCCCTATGGAACACCCCTATGGAGCACCCCCATAGGGCATCCCTATGGAGCATCGCTATGGAGCATCCCTATGGAGCATCCCCATGGAGCATCCCTATGGAACATCCCTATGGAGCATCCCTATGGAACATCCCTAAGGAGCATCCCTATGGAACATCCCTATGGAGCACCCCCATGGAGCATCCCTATGGAGTATCCCTATGGAGCATCCCTATGGAACACCCCTATGGAGCAGCCCCATAGGGCATCCCTATGGAGCATCGCTATGGAGCATCCCCATGGAGCATCCCTAAGGAGCATCCCTATGGAACATCCCTATGGAGCACCCCCATGGAGCACCCCCATGGAGCACCCCCATGGAGCACCCCCATAGAGCATCCCTATGGAGCATCCCTATGGAGCATCCCCATAGAGCATCCCTAAGGAGCATCCCTATGGAGCATCCCCATGGAGCATCCCCATTCCATGCCGGCTCAGCAGCATTCCCAAGAGCTGGAATCCCGGCAGTTTTCCTTTGGGAGGCCCTTCCAAGCCAAGCGGGAATCCTTGGGAACGATGGGAATGGCCATGGGGAATTTCCCTCTGGAATGCCGCTCGTTCCCTGGCGACCCTGCGCTTCCGGGATGGGCTCCGGCGCCTGTTCCCGCCCGGCATTCCCGCTGCTCCAGCCGCACGAGCCCGGTCCCTGCCTGCGGCCTTGGAAAACACCCTCCTTATCCTGGCCTATCCTCCTTCTCCTTCCTTTTCCCTCCTCCTCCCTCCTTTTCCATCCTTCTCCCTCTTTCTCCTTCCTTTTCCATCCTTTTCCTTCCTTCTCCCTCCTTTTCCCTCCTTTTCCATCCTTTCCCATCCTTCTCTCTCCTTTTCCATCCTTTTCCCTCATTCTCCCCTTTTCCATCCTTTCCCATCCTTTTCCTACCTTCTCCATCCTTTTTCATCCTTTCCCCTCCTTTTCCCTCCTTTTCCTTCCTTTTCCCTCCTTCTCCCTCTTTTTCCTTCCTTTTCCATCCTTTTCCTTCCTTCTCCCTCCTTTTCCCATCCTTTCCCATCCTCTCTCTCCTTTTCCATCCTTTCCCTCATCTTTTCCCTCCTTTTCCATCCTTTTCCCATCCTTTTCCCCCCTTCTCCCTCCTTTTCCCTCCTTTTCCCATCCTTTCCCATCCTTCTCTCTCCTTTTCCATCCTTTTCCTCATTCTCCTTCCTTTTCCATCCTTTCCCATCCTTTACCCCCTTCTCCCTCCTTTTCCCTCCTTTTCCCATCCTTTCCCATCCTTCTCCCTCCTTTTCCCTCCTTTTCCATCCTTTTCCCATCCTCCTCCCTCCTTTTCCCATCCTCCTCCCTCCTTTTCCATCGTTTTCCTTCCTTTTCCCTCCTTTTCCCTCCTTTTCCATCCTTTTCCCATCCTCCTCCCTCCTTTTCCATCCTTTCCCCTCTTTCTCCCTCCTTTTCCCTCCTTTTCCCTCCTCCTCCCTCCTTTTCCTTCCTTCTCCATGCTTTTCCTTCCTTTTCCCTCTTTTTCCCTCCTTCGTTTTCCATCTTTTTCCCTCCTTTTCCATCGTTTTCCATCCTCCTTCTTCCTTTTCCCTCCTTCTCCATCTTTTCCATTCTTTTCCCTCCTTCTCCTTCTCTCTCCCTCCTTTTCCATCCTTTTCCCTCCTTTTCCCTTGTTTTCCCCTCCTCCCTCCTGCTCCATCCTTTTCCATCCTTTTCCTTCCTTTTCCTTCCTTTTCCATCCTTTCCCATCCTTCTCCCTCCTTTTCCATCCTTTTCCCTCCTTCTCCATCCTTTTCCTTCCTTTTCCCTCCTTCTCCCCCCTTCTCCTTCCTTTTCCATCCTTCTCCCTACTTTTCCCCTTCTTTTCCCTCCTACTCCCTCCTTCTCCCTCCTTTTCCATCCTTCTCCTTCCTTTTCCCTCCTTTCCCCTCTTTCTCCTTCCTTTTCCATCCTTTTCCTTCCTTTTCCCTCTTTTCCCTCCTTTGTTTTCCATCTTTTTCCTCCTTTTCCATCGTTTTCCATCCTCCTTCTTCCTTTTCCCTCCTTCTCCCTCGTTTCCCCTCCTGCTCCCTCCATCCTTTTCCTTCCTTTTCCATCCTTATCCATCCTTCTCCACACACACGTGTACACGCACACACGTGTACATACACACGTGTATATACATACACACACGTGTACATACATACACACGTATGTACACACACGTGTACATACATACACACACGTGTACATACATACACACACGTGTACATACACACACGTGTACACACACGTGTACATACATACACACACGTGTACGTACACACACGTGTACACACACGTGTACATACATACACGTGTACATACACACACGTGTACATACACACACATGTACATACATACACACACGTGTACACACACGTGTACATACATACACGTGTACATACATACACACACGTGTACACACACGTGTACATACATACACACACGTGTACATACACACACGTGTACATACACACACGTGTACATACACACACATGTACATACATACACACACGTGTACACACACGTGTACATACATACACACACGTGTACATACACACACGTGTACATACATACACACACGTGTACACACACGTGTACATACATACACACACGTGTACATACACGTGTACATACACACACGTGTACATACACACACGTGTACATACACACACGTGTACATACATACACACACGTGTACATACATACACACACGTGTACATACACGTGTACATACATACACACACGTGTACATACATACACACACGTGTACATACATACACACACGTGTACACACACGTGTACCTACATACACACACGTGTACATACACACACGTGTACATACATACACACACGTGTACACACACGTGTACATACATACACACACGTGTACATACACACACGTGTACATACACACACACACGTGTACACACACACGTGTACATACATACACACACGTGTACACACACGTGTACATACATACACACGCGTGTACATACACACACGTGCACATACACACACATGTACATACATACACACACGTGTACACACACGTGTACATACATACACACACGTGTACATACACACACATGTACATACACACACATGTACATACATACACACACGTGTACACACACGTGTACATACATACACACACGTGTACATACACACACGTGTACATACACACACGTGTACATACATACACACGTGTACACACACACGTGTACATACATACACACACGTGTACATACACACGTGTACATACATACACACACGTGTACACACACACGTGTACATACATACACACACGTGTACACACACACGTGTACATACATACACACACGTGTACACACACGTGTACATACATACACACACGTGTACATACACACACGTGTACATACACACACGTGTACATACATACACACGTGTACACACACACGTGTACATACATACACACACGTGTACACACACGTGTACATACATACACACACGTGTACACACACACGTGTACATACATACACACACGTGTACACACACGTGTACATACATACACACACGTGTACACACACACGTGTACATACATACACACACGTGTACACACACGTGTACATACATACACACACGTGTACACACACACGTGTACATACATACACACACGTGTACACACACACACGTGCGCACCCTCACGTGCACAGCCACGTGCGCACGTTACGGCCACGTGACCCCTCCCCCGGGCGCGGGTCCGGGCGCCACCGCGGGGCCGTTGGCGGGAACTCGGCCCGCCCCTGCCGGGAAGCGGCCGGGGGGGGGGGGGGTGTGGTGTCACGTGACCGGGAGGGTGTGCACGTGGCTGTGCACGTGGGTGTATGTACACGTGTGTATGTACATGCATGTGTATGTACACGTGTGTATGTACACGTGTGTGTATGTGCACGTGTGTGTATGTACACGTGTGTGTATGTACATGCATGTGTATGTACACGTGTGTATGTGCACGTGTGTGTATGTACACGTGTGTATGTACATGCATGTGTGTATGTACACGTGTGTTTTTGCACACACACGTGTGTGCGTGCATGTACATGTATGTGTGCGTATGTTCATGTATGTACATGCATGTGTGGGTATGCACAGCGTGTACATGTGTGCGTGTGTCCATGCATGTACATCCACACGTATGCACACATGTACATACGCGCACAGATGCACATACACATGTATGTACATGTATGTACATGCTGGGGGCACACATGTGCCTGCTCCAAGGGGGGGTTACATGCGTGCATGGGTGCACAGGCCTGCATGGATGTGCTTGTATGTGCGTGTGTTCATGCATGTGCATGTATGTGCATGTATGTTCTTGTATGTGCATGTATGTTCATGTATGTGCATGTGTGTTCTTGTATGTGCATGCGTGTTCATGTATGTGCATGCGTGTTCATGTATGTGCATGCGTGTTCATGTATGTGCATGTGTGTTCTTGTATGTGCGTGTGTGTTCATGTATGTGCATGTGTGTTCTTGTATGTGCGTGTATGTTCATGTATGTGCATGCGTGTTCATGTTTGTGCATGTGTGTTCATGTATGTGCATGCGTGTTCATGTTTGTGCATGCGTGTTCATGTATGTGCATGTGTGTTCATGTATGTGCATGTGTGTTCATGTATGTGCATGCGTGTTCATGTATGTTCATGCATGTTCGTGCATGTACTTGTATGTGCATGTGTGTACATGTATGTTCATGCGTGTTCGTGTATGTTAATGTATGTGCTTGTGCATGCGTGTACATGTGTTTTCATGTGTGTTAATGTTCATGTGTGTTCCTATATGTTCAGGCATGTCCATGTGTGTTCATGTATGTACATGCATGTTCATGTATATACATGCATGTACATGTGTGTTCATGCATGTTCATGCATGTTCATGTATGTTCAGGCATGTTCCTGTCCAAGCCCTCCAACCGCTTCCCCCTCCTTTCCCAAGCCATTCCCGGATCCCGGAGCAGCATTCCCGTTTCCTCTTCCAGATGGATCCCAGGGGGACGAGGCCGGTACCCACTGTGCTCCCAACTGCATCCCAGCCGCATCCCAACTGCATCCTGACCGCATCCCGACCGCATCCCGACTGCATCCCAGCCGCATCCCGACTGCATCCCAGCCGCATCCCGACCGCATCCCGACCGCATCCCAGCCGCATCCCAGCTGCATCCCGACCGCATCCCAGCCGCATCCCAACTGCACCCTGACCGCATCCCGACCGCATCCCAGCCGCATCCCGACCGCATCCCGACCGCATCCTGACCGCATCCCAGCCGCATCCTGACCGCATCCCAGCCGCATCCCGACCGCATCCCAGCCGCATCCCAGCTGCATCCCGACCACATCCCGGCCGCATCCCGGCCGCATCCCGACCGCATCCCGACTGCATCCCAGCCACATCCCAGCCGCATCCCGACCGCATCCCAACTGCATCCCGACCGCATCCCGACCGCATCCCGACCGCATCCCGGCCGCATCCCGACCGCATCCCAGCCGCATCCCGACCGCATCCCAGCTGCATCCCAACCATATCCCGACCGCATCCCGACCGCATCCCAGCCGCATCCCGACCGCATCCCAGCCGCATCCCAACCGTATCCCGACCGCATCCCGACTGCATCCCAGCCGCATCCCGACCGCATCCCGGCCACATCCCAGCCGCATTCCGACCGCATCCCTGCTGCATCCCAGCCGCATCCCGACCGCATCCCGGCCACATCCCAGCCGCATTCCGACCGCATCCCTGCTGCATCCCGACCGCATCCCGACCGCATCCCAGCCGCATCCCAGCCGCATCCCGACCGCATCCCAACCGCATCCCGACCGCATCCCAGCCGCATCCTGACCGCATCCCAGCTGCATCCCGACCGCATCCCGACCGCATCCCGGCCACATCCCGACCGCATCCCAGCCTCATCCCAGCCGCATCCCGACCGCATCCCAGCTGCATCCCGACCGCATCCCGGCCGCATCCCAGCCGCATCCCAACCGCATCCCAGCATCCAGGCGGATCCCATCCAGGTAGGATTATTCCTGCTTCCCAGCCTTAAGGCCAATTCCCAGAGCATTCCAGCCTCTGCATCCCAAAGGAGAACGGGATATGGGGGGGGGCGGGGGGGGGGGGAATGCCTTCCCACCGGGATACGGAACAGGGACTCGGGATGCTCGCAGGGAAAAGCTGGAATTCTGCCTTTGGAATTAGGCGTTATCCAGCTTTTCCCGGCCTGCATTCCACACCCCATCCCTACGAGTCAGAGGAACGGGAAGGGGCTGTTCCTCCACCGGGAATCATGGAACGCTGCTCGTTTCCCTTCTTCCCACCTCCGCTGTTCCCCCTTTCGGGATCATCCTGATCCCAGAATTCCATGGGTTCCTGGCTTGGGATCAAACGCTCCCTATGGCCAGAGACAGCAGCATCTGGGCTGGGATGGGGGAAAGCTCCTTTGCTTTGGGAATGAGGAATTCCAGCCGGGAATAAAGGGCATTGGGATGCTGGCAGGGATCCCAAACAAGGGACAATAGGAGACTTGGAATGTCGGGGTCCGTGAAAGCGGAGGGAGAGGGGACATGGAGTGGGAATGGTGGACGGGGGGATGAGTAGGGATCCCATATCCCCTCCCTGCTTGCATCCCATCCTGCATCCCTGCTCAGCATCCCATGGAGCATCCCATAGAGCATCCCATAGAGCATCCCATAGAGCATCCCATAGGGCATCCCATAGGGCATCCCATAGAGCATCCCATAGAGCATCCCATAGGGCATCCCATAGGGCATCCCATAGGGCATCCCATAGGGCATCCCATAGAGCATCCCATAGAGCATCCCATAGGGCATCCCATAGAGCATCCCATAGGGCATCCCATAGGGCATCCCATAGAGCATCCCATAGGGCATCCCATAGAGCATCCCATAGAGCATCCCATAGAGCATCCCATAGGGCATCCCATAGGGCATCCCATAGGGCATCCCATAGAGCATCCCATAGGGCATCCCATAGGGCATCCCATAGAGCATCCCATGGAGCATCCCATAGGGCATCCCATAGGGCATCCCATAGGGCATCCCATAGGGCATCCCATAGGGCATCCCATAGAGCATCCCATAGAGCATCCCATAGGGCATCCCATAGAGCACCCCATAGAGCATCCCATAGAGCATCCCATAGAGCATCCCATAGGGCATCCCATAGGGCATCCCATAGAGCATCCCATAGGGCATCCCATAGAGCATCCCATAGGGCATCCCATAGGGCATCCCATAGGGCATCCCATAGAGTATCCCATAGAGCATCCCATGGGGCATCCCATAGAGCATCCCATAGAGCATCCCATAGAGCATCCCAGGGAGCATCCCATAGGGCATCCCATAGAGCATCCTATGGAGCATCCCATAATGCATCCCATAACGCATCCCATAGAGCATCCCATAGGGCATCCCAAAGGGCATCCCATAGGGCATCCCATAGAGCATCCCATAGAGCATCCCATAGAGCATCCCATAGGGCATCCCATGGAGCATCCCATAGAGCATCCCATAGGGCATCCCATAGAGCATCCCATAGAGCATCCCATAGGGCATCCCATAGGGCATCCCATAGGGCATCCCATAGAGCATCCCATAGGGCATCCCATAGGGCATCCCATAGGGCATCCCATAGGGCATCCCATAGGGCATCCCATAGGGCATCCATAGAGCATCCCATAGAGCATCCCATAGGGCATCCCATAGAGCATCCCATAGAGCATCCCATAGGGCATCCCATATCCCATCCCTGCTTGCATCCCATATCCCATCCCTCCTCAGCATCCCATATCCCATCCCTGCTTGCATCCCATATCCCATCCCTGCTCAGCATCCCATCCAGCATCCTTGCTCCAGCATCCCGCTCCTAAAGTGGGAATTCCATAGGGAAAGGAGGTGGGAATGGCATGGGGAAAGGAGATGGGAATTCCATAGGGAAAGGAGCTGGGAATGGCATAGGGAAAGGAGGTGGGAATTCCATAGGGAAAGGAGGTGGGAATGGCATAGGGAAAGGAGGTGGGAATTCCATAGGGAAAGGAGATGGGAATGGCATAGGGAAAGGAGGTGGGAATTCCATAGGGAAAGGAGGTGGGAATGGCAGAGGGAAAGGAGGTGGGAATTCCATAGGGAAAGGAGATGGGAATTCCATAGGGAAAGGAGGTGGGAATTCCATAGGGAAAGGAGGTGGGAATGGCAGAGGGAAAGGAGGTGGGAATTCCATAGGGAAAGGAGATGGGAATTCCATAGGGAAAGGAGGTGGGAATTCCATAGGGAAAGGAGCTGGGAATGGCATCCCCTTCTCCTTGGGGCAGGCGTGGGCTGAGGCCCGGAAAACCATGGAATTCCATTGGAAAAGCCCCGGGAGGCGTGATTCCCGTCGGATTCCCGTGAGGAAGGCAGGGATCGGGAAGCGCTGTAGCGGGGCCCACTGGCCATTGGGAAGCTCGCTCCGGAATTCCAGCTGTTGGGATGCCCCATCGGCGTGCCATGCTTCCAGCAGGGAAAGCCTACGGAAGGGACCCCCAGGCTCCTGCCATTCCAGAGGTGAGGAATTCGGGATTCCCGGAGCCATTCCCAAGAGAGGGAGGGAATTCCGGGAGCCAAGTGGCATGAGGAATGCTTCGAATGTGCCTCCGGAGCTGTCGCCATTCCCATGGCGTATCCCTATGGATGCGGCTCAATGGCTCCATAACCCCCCCCCCCCCCAAATTCCATTGTCCCGGAAGGACGTCATTCCCAAAGCCTTCCCGTTGGGAGCAACTCATCCACGCACTGTGGATCCCGGGATCGCCGTTTTTCCATGGCATTCCATGGCAGTCCATAGCATTCCATGGCATTCCATAGCATTCCATGGCATTCCATGGCATTCCATGGCATTCCATGGCATTCCAGCCGTCCTCTATCCATCGCATCCGGGATAAGGCCGAGGATGCTCCGCCATCCCTACGGATGCTCCAATGGGTTCGATGAGGGGCCGGGAATGCCGTCCCGCTGCCAAGGAACCGGATCGGGAAGCGATTCCCAAGATCCCATCCCAAGCTTTTCCTCTCTCTTTTCCAGAGGCGGAAAACCTGAGGAGGAGACGAGAGGGAAAACCGGGAAGCGCATCCAGGCCTGAGGAATTCCATGGGTGAGTTCGCCGGTATCCCCTTTGTCCCGGGCATCCCGTTATCCCGTTCTTAGCCGTCGGGATTCCTGATGGATTTTAGCCCCGCTGCGTCTTGCCGGCGGCGTTCCGAGCGGCCGGAAAACCGGGAATGGAGGGGGGAAAAGCTGGGAATGGCATCGCCGGGAGTTGGGATCGGGATGGCTTCGGAGGGGAGCGATGGAAGCAGGAATCCCATATATCCCGTATCCCATATATCCCATATATCCCATATCCCCATATATCACATATCCCATATATCCCTATATCCCATATCCCCATACACTATATCCCTATATCCCATATCTCCATATATCTCATATCCATATTCCCATATATCACATATATCCCATATCCCGTATATCCCATATATCCCATATTCCCATCTATCCATCTATCCATATTTCCATATATCCCATATATCCCATCTATCCCATCTATCCCATATCCATCTATCCCATATCCCATCTATCCCATATCCCATCTATCCCACATCCCATCTACCCCATCTATCCCATCTATCCCATCTATCCCATATCCCATCTATCCCATCTATCCCATCTATCCCATATCCCATCTATCCCATCTATCCCATCTATCCCATCTATCCCACATCCCATCTATCCCATATCCCATCTACCCCATATATCCCATATATCCCATCTATCCCATATCCCATCTATCCCATCTATCCCATCTATCCCATATGTCCCATCTATCCCATACATCCCATATCCCCACATTGGGAATGTCGCCTGCATCCCGCTCGGATTAGCTTGGGAATAGGCCTTTAAGGGTTGCTCCTTGCAGCATTCCCAACTTCCTGGGACAACGGGCTCCTTCCCGTAGGGAATTCCATGGCTCCGGCCTCACTCCCACCCCTTTGTCCCGGCTGGATCCAGGGCAATCCATGGCTCCAAAGTCGCTTTTCCCATTTGAGGACCAAGCCCTTGGGAATTCCCAACAGGAATCCCGTTGCCTTCCTTACCCCGCAGCCAGCCCTGGGACCCCGCTTCCCTCTATCCCTATGAGATCCCGTCCTGATCCCCACCATTCCCATCCATTCCCATTCCCATCCCCATCCTTCCCATCCTGATCCCCACCATTCCCATCCTGTTCCCCATCCTCATTCCCATCCTTCCCATTCCCATTCTTCCCATTCTTCCCATTCCCATTCCCATCCTGACCCCCACCATTCTTATCCTGTTCCCCATCCTTCCCATTCCATTCCCATCCTTTCCATTCCATTCCCATCCTGGTCCCCATCCTTCCCATTCCCATTCCCCCCATTCCCACTTTCCCATTCCCATCCCCATCCTTCCCCTTCCCATCCTCACCCCCATCCTTCCCTTTCCCATTCTTCCCATTCCCATTCCCATCCTTCCCATTCCCACTTTCCCATCCCCATCCCCATCTTTCCCCTTCCCCTCCTCACCCCCATCCTTCCCTTTCCCATTCCCCCCTCCCATCCCCATCCCCATTCCCCCCCCTCCCTCTCCCGTATTCCCGGTCCCTCCCCTCCCTTCCCTCATTGTCTCCTCTCCCTATAAAGCCCCGCCTCTGTTCCCGGATGTTCGCTCCCGGCCATGGGGCCGCAGCGGGGCCGAGCGGCTCCGAGCCTGGGGCCGCCCCGGGACCGGCACCGCCCCCGGCCCCGGCCCCGACCTAAACCGCGTTTTTTGGGGGGGGGGGTGGTGGGGAGGGGGGGGTGGAAAGGGCCGGGGCTGGACCCAACCCCCCCCAAACCCAGCGGGATTCACCCAGGAACCCCCCCCCCCCCCCCCGCGCTCCTTTCGGCGCATCCGGATGCTCCGGGAGCCGCGATTCCCGTCGGGAAGCGCTTGGGAATTGCGGA